CATGTTGCATTTTCCTTAACATAGAATACCCCATATTCTGATTTCTTATCTCTTTGCTCATTCTCCTTTCTGGAAATCTTCTCTTAAGTCTCTTGTAACAAACTATGTTCATGACTCCATCATGTCTTCAAGATATATATGTAACCTGCCACATATATGTAGACAAAGGACAGGCAGTAAGAGGTATTCAAGTGGAAACCCAGTTGAAAGGAGAAGCATTAGATAGATAGATAGTGATAGCATCACCAAACACTAAAAGCTCCACATTTATAAGACACAGGAATAGCTGTGACAAAAATATACAGGATTGAAAAAAAAAGGATGTAAAATAGGACTATCATGCCAGGCTCATAAGGTGGTACAATCCCATTAACCTAGGAAATGCAAACATACCAGGTTGAGAACAGTCATTATCTCACAGCTCTTCCAAATCACCACGGTGGTACTTAAATTTCAGTCTCTGTCTCCTGCACAGCGACCTCCATAGCCCCACTTCTCTGCCCTATGCCCTTCCCAGCATGCCTTTTGGTTTATATTTTTATTTATTTTTATTTTAGTGCAATTGCACAATCATGGCATTCTCTTAAGCCAATAAATAAATAAATAAATAAATAAATAAAAGAATTTGGAAAAAAAGAAAAGAAAAACAACCTGCCTTAGAACACTGAGGGGAAGAAGGGAGAGAGAGAGAAAGGAGCATAATCACACCCACTTGCAAAACATTACTGCCAGCATATCAGAACTGTTTCAGGAGGAACCTATCACACATGCATCAACAGTGAAAAAGCAGTACAATTGGGATGCATTGATGGGTTTTGCCTATCAATGAGAAGGACTGCTCCAGCAACTGGATAGACACAGCATTGGGTGATAAAATACAGCCACAGACACTGCTATCCTTCTCTAAATCCACTTTTCAACCCTTGTATGATAAAATCCATATCCTTGTGAAGTATGGATTTTCTCTGCCTCTTACAATATGAAAACTTTCTGCCCTCACTATATGGGCAAACAGAGTTTTACATTGATTATGTAATTTCATAGGTCTGTTTGAAGACTGATAAACTAGACTGGCTCTAATTCATAGGTCCCTAGATGACATTCCCGTCATGGTACTGGAGATTTGCCTTATTGGAACATTTGTAGTTCCATTAAGTTTCTTCCATAACATGTACTGCACCGATTTTCAAGCAAAAGGGGAAATCTTTTATTTTCCCAAAGGCTTTTAGGCATTGAGAAACAAGTCGTCATATACAGCATAATCTCTAGTGTCTTGCCATCTGTTTATCAATAATGTATAGCTGTTCTTGGCTTATTCGCATTTTGAAATAAATTGAGATGGTTATTGATGTTGTGTAAGGGAACCTGTCTTTTTGAAATAAGGTATCTGATAGCCTGTACTAAAACTGCCAGAAGATTACTAACCCATCTCCTGTCTCCTTTTCTGCTCTCTCATCCCCATAACAAGTGACCCAAATAATAATCACAACTATAGAAAATAGATTAGAACCATTACCTTTATCTGACTGTGAAATGACTCAGGTAAAATAAATAATTCAAGTTGAAGATTTCTACTGAGGTCTATCATCTTCATGAAAAACAAGATATAAATCCCATATTCTTTTGGGGGGCAAGGAAGAGAAAGATTTCTCTTATGACAGGCACAAAAGCAATCATTGTCAATGCTCCTTCCATTGCATCAACTAATTTATATTCTGCATCCCCAAGTGGCTGGCCAGTGTATTTGTTAGTCAAAATAAAACTGTGAATATTCCAGTCATGGTTTGTAATGAACTGCAAACACATTCAGACACACATGCACTTAAAAGTTGTTTGCTGCTTTGCTTTTTTCTCCTTTGCATCTCAAATAGGGCAAACTAAACTACGTTCTGACTTCAAATCTGATACAAGGAGCATGTTTTGAAAGCTGGAGAAGGAATCACACATTTCCCTAAACCCTGCAAGGCACAAGAACACAACACTACATGATTCCCAGGACATCTGGGGAAGAAAAACAGTTTTATTGGAATGGTGTAAATGTAGAACTGCTTACTAGTATTGTGGGATTTAATATAACGCTGTTTAGTTGGTGCCATATTAGAACTTTGCTGCTTAGTAATAAGCCCCAAGAGTGAAAATAGTTAGCATAGGAAGCCTAGTTTAGTGGCCATATAGTAACACTGGCAAAAGATTCTATCTATAAATAATAACTAGGACTGCAGAATCCAAACATAAGGGAATTTTTATCTGTTTTCAGCAATGCTTGCCTTTGATCCTTTCCAGACAACCAGTATGTTATATAAAACTTGTCTTCTTATACTGTGTGTGTGTGTTGTGTGGCTTCAAGTCATTTCCAACTTATGGTGACCCTAAAGTGAACCTACAATGGGCTTTTTTTTTTTTTTTTTGGCTAGATTTGTTTAGAGAAGGTTTGCCATTGCCTTCCCCTGAGGCAGAGAGTGTGATTCGCCCAAGGGCACCTAGTGGGTTTCATGGTCAATTGAAGTGGGAATTGAACTCTGGTTTCCAGAGTCATAATCCAATGCTCTAACCACAGCACCAGACTGCATCACTTCAGATTGTAAGAAACAGATTATCTGGATGCCCTCCATATAAAAAGATCACTACATAAAGAAAACTGAAGGTTGGATCAATCCAGATTTAGGTGAATTGACTTTCCTGGTGAAAACAAATGTTGTATCACCACAAATTGTCATATGGAACTAGGACCTGATTCTATAGGCTAGCCTATATGTGGCTTGCATCCTAGAGATTTTTGAGAGAACATCATCTATTTGAAGAAGTAATATTTCATATTTTATCTGGAAAAACCCTCCACCTCCACCATCTCCAGGGAAATAAGTGTCTTTTGTGTTCTACATGAACATGAAGAGAAGCCCATGATGTTGAAACAGACATGATTCCCAACCCCATCTCTTTAGACTGGGGACTGAGGGTTCCTTGGCATTTGCCAGCTAATCTGTTTGGATGTCCTTGTCTGCCTGGGCTCCCAACTTTTGACTCACAGTATAGTCCAAACAGACAGAGTTAGTATCAATACTCCACTTAAGCATTTGTAAGTATTGGAATCTCAGGACCGTTAATATGGGAGAATGAGCAGACTTTCTGTTATTCCTTTAGGGCAGGGGTAGGCAACCTTTCCCCTTTAAGGGCCGAGGGACTTCAGCTCCCAGAAGCCTCAGCCATGTTGGCCAATAGTCCCATGTTGGCCAATAGCTCCTGGGATTCTGGGAGCTGAAGTCCCTCGGCCCTTAAAGGGGAAAGGTTGCCTACCCCTGCTTTAGGCTATTTTGTTAAATGCAAAGTAATAGCTATATAAATATGCCCTCCCCTTAGGGAGTAACATAGAGATAATCTGGGCACATATCTTACTGTTAACTTTATCTTGCAGTCAATGTGGCATAGTGGTTTGAGTACTGGACATGACTCTAGAACCCAGGGCTCAAATCCCTGCTTGGGCATGGAAAACCACTGAGTGCTCTTGGGCAAGTCACACTCTCTCAGCCTCAAAGGCAAACTCCATTTGAACAAATTTTGCCAAGAAAATCCTGTGATAGGTTCACCTTAGGGTTGCCATAAATCAGAGATAATTTGAAGGCACACAGCAACAACAAAAACAACAAAGTTGCCCATTTTACAGGATATTCATATCTCATACAGTACTGTCATATAATCTCTACAGATCTGCTTTTTGTAAGGATTGCTTTGTTAGATTCTTTTATATTCATCTTATCAAACAATCACTAAGAGGCATTATACATAGGTCTTATACCTGTAAGGAATTGTCATCTTTCCTAATAGCTTTTAAAAAGTATTTCAGGTCTTTTAAAAACCATATTGCTGGAAATGACTTAGGGGCAAATACAGAGGGAGCAGCTTTGACAATATTGTCTTGAGGAGGCTTTCTTTCCTACCATCTGCTATAGAATGTAGACTTCTCTCTCCCCAGAATGTCATTGCCTCAGATGAAGTTTGCTCCCTTCATTTTATTTAAGTAATAAATAGATTGACAGCTAGATTGGCTGTAAAGATATTATGTTTCCTCTGGTAAATTTCAGGCCCAACTTGGCAGTGCTTAAAAACTGTAGAGAAAATCTGAAAAGAGATTTCTTTATTTTTAAGAAGCAAAAATACATAGCAAATTAGAACATACATCCTGGCAGCTATGTTTTCTTTTAGATTTGCCTGGTGCTCCCACACAAACACATATGCACAAACAGCCATTATAGTTAGAACTATTTAAAAGCAAGAATGAGTAGTTTTCTTTGTGACCATTCTGAACAGTGTCAGACAAAAACGTATTTGACTTCTCTCTGAGGAGATAAACGTAGTGTGGGTTACATCCTTTCTCACCATACTGAGGAATTCACATGACTGACACCTCTTGCTAAAACAAAGTCTCTCCACCTATAAAAAGTAGAGTTGTCTTCATATATTAGTAAGAACTTGGGGTAACTAATTTCAGAAAGCAAGTTACTCACCATTAACTACTTTGCAATAGAATTGTAATTTAATACATGATCATTTCATTCCTTTTGCATTATAACCTTAAATTAATTTTCTAGTTATGGAAATGTGGCTTCATTAAATGTTGCAAATAGAATACCAGACTGCTGCTTCACACCCTGTTCTGGGTATTGGAGCTGACAAAAAAGTTAATGGGCAGAGATTCTGTTTGACATTACTGACCTGTAGCTTTTAGGAGTCACATGTTAAAAGTAACTGGAAATGACAATTTTGCTGGAATGTACTAAAGCTGTTATGTAAGCATAATCTAGAGTTATGCATTTGTTACTGGTTCAGATTCATGATCCTTACATATCCACTGCTTTAAGGAATACATAGGGAACATAAAAGCCCTCCAGTTCCCACTTATTGGACGGCAGCAGCAGTGATCGATGGGAGTTTGTTCCCCTGTTGATTGAGAAGCAGCTGACTAATATTTACACCCACACTCAAAGTGCAAAGGGGTTTGGAGCAAGGACTCTGCTCCTGGCTATTGCAATGGAGAAGATGGGAGAGAATGGGCATATCAGCCAGCAAATTTCCAATCAACAGGAGAACAGTTCCCTGTCAATTGCAGCTGCTGCTATCCAGTAAGTGGAGATTGCAGGAGTCTGGCCAGGAAACATCATGTAGCTATGTAACTATGGTGGTTACATAACGATATAGCTGGTAGAGAATTCCATCCAATGTTCCAATTTCTGATATTATTCAGATGAGGGAATCCTTATATGAGCAAAGGGCAGTGGGTCTGCATAGACCCTGTATCCATGTGATAGGAGTGGATGTATGCAGGAGCCTTCCTTGGAGACTTGGAAACCTACCGTAATTGCATAGGGTTCCAACTCCTGAGGAAGCCAGTATGGGGAAAAACAGCTTTACTTGTTATCTTTCTTCCTGGAGACAACCATGGCTTACCTATGACATCAGAAATGGGACTAGGGGGAGCTGTGTGACCTTATGGGGCAAGGCCAGCAGCACAGACCCATTACATCATGATCAAAGAAGTATATATTCACGTGAGTAATGTGTGCAGGGTGAACAGATACTAGGGGTCAAAGTTATATCACAGCATTTCCCTTGGTAGTTATGTGGAGCTAGTTAGCATGAAGGAGCATTTAGCTATGAGGATCTTCAGTCATATTCTGGCATGCTACAGCTGAGAGACACAGGCTTGCTTGCATACCCATCTCTCTGTCTCTTAAAACAAACAGCCTTTCCTTTAAAATTAAGTCTTGTTTAGACATTCTTCTCAGTGTCAATGTTAGGAACAAATGAATTCAAATCAATTAAGATTTGAATTAAGTTGGAAATTTGCCAGCTAAAACAAACAACTAAATTAAAATTTATTTTTAAACCTGGAGTGACTGGCTTAAGTTACAATTTCAGCATTATTTGTTTTCCCAAAAGTAAGTTATTAAGCTATTAGTTAAATAAATTGACCTTAATGCTAAATAGCTGAGGCATTCTACATTACCCAAAGGTTAGTTCTCTCATTTTTTGCAATGCTATTTCTTGCTTTTTAAAAATGTCTTCTTGCTTGGGGAATTACATGGTTTAGGGTACAAGTAGTCTGGGCAGCTTGAAGAAGGGTGTCCCCTGCATCCCCCTGTATTCTACTCTATCACATAGAAACTCATCATCTGTCTCAGGAAACAGATGTTAACCCTTTCTCACTATTTTTCCCCATCTTGGATTTTGTAGTGCAGCTACAGCCGGGACAGCCTTCACTATAAAAGGTAGCTCTTCATAGAAACACCCTCCTCCTCTTCAGTCATTCACTCTCCATGAGTAGAAAGTATAAATTGAAAGGTTGGTTGGGACTAATGCATTCCAGCTTCTTGTGTGTTTACTCTAATTACATGGCAGAACCCCTGACTTGGGGTGCATCTACACTGTAGAAATAATGTAGCTTGACACCACTTTAAGTGCTGTAGCCCCATCCTTGGAATTCTGGGATTTAAAGAGTGCTGGTGCCTCACAAAACTACAAATCCTAAGATTCTGTAGGATGGATCAATAGCAGTTAAAGTGCTGTCAAACTGCATTATTTCTACAATGTAGATGCACCCTTGGTTTTCTCCAATTGCCACACTTTCTTTCTCTTTCACTCCTGAGCTCTTGGAGAAAGTTCTATTGCCTTTACTCTTCCTTCTCCTGCTACTTTTTCAAAACAACTGACACATATGCTTATAATGGAGGAGCGATAAGCTCAGCTACTAGCCTGGAACAAACAGATAAGAAGTTTTCACTGTCTCAGCAGCAGTGACTTGGGAGCGGGGGCAGTTCATTTAACATCTCTCTTACTCTCTGCCACAGGGAAAATGCTTTCCATTTTTAGGATGATGATTGGCATTGGTGAACACTGAAAGACAGAACATCTGGGGATTCTAAAATATTTTTGGTGTGGGGGAGAGCAATATATTTTTGGAAGTTTCTTTAGGGGAAAGAATCAAATAAAATGAAATAAAACACTTCATTTATTTGGAAATGCAATTTAGAAAAGCTTTCAGCTTAGTTTGAATTCATAACTTGATTGAGTTTGCTACAGCATGATTGCTTGAACATGAGAGACAGATAATGCAGAATTACCTGTGATATGCTAGAACCTTCTGACAAGTGCAGAATATCTATTTGGGCCTAGCTTCTGCCTCTGACAACTTAGCGTAGTTGCCAGGGGTTGGCAGGATCCACTGGTAGACTGATCTATCTATCTATCTATCTATCTATCTATCTATCTATCTATCTATCTATCTATCTATCTATCTATCCATCTCCTCTTAAACCCCACCCCTCTGGAGATGCAGAATAGGTAAAAAGTTTGTTTTTAAAAAACTCTTCTTTAGAAATTATTTTAAAATCACAGATACTTAAAAGAACAAGCTCAACCTCAATCCAAATTTTAAGGACTGAAGACCCAGCAAACTAGCAGCATCTTAGGTACCTGCTAAATAAAAGAGACAAAGCCAGCTTGACTTCCATTGGGAAACTGTACCACAGTTAGGGTGCTACCAAAGAGAAAGCCTATGTATCTTTCAGCCTACCCTCATGGGCTGGTGGACACCCAACAGGGCCTCCACTGAGGATCTTATCATTTTGGCAGGCTCATATGGGAAGAGACAGTTTTTCAGTTATCCTGGTTCCAAGTTGTGAATAGAAGTAATTGTTGGCATTTTAGTGTCCTACAATGCTCCTGACATAGCATACTTCAAGAGGTTATAGGAAATGAAAATTGAGAATGGGCCCTCTGGGAATCAAGATGGGATCCACTTGGTTGATATCTATGTAGATGGAGCTTATTGCATCAACAAATAACCCAACTGCTCCCCAAGGGATACAGTTAGGTTGTGGGATGCAGGCAGGTGTTATCGCACCAAATTCACTGCTGATTCCACTGGGTGAGTGCAGCCCAGCTGCATCCTGGATCCCAGGCATGTTTTGGAGGCCATTTTTCAAAGCTGAGAGCTTGCCCTCTTTGAAAAGTGGCCTCTGAAGCATGCCTGGGACCCGGGATGCAGCCGGGTTGCATTTGTCCAACAGAATCAGTGTGCACTCACCCAACTTGTGTGTGCTAATACCGGCCTGCATCCTGCAACTTGGCTGTATACCGTTGGGGAGCAGTTGGGTTATTTGTTGGTGCAGTAAACTCCAATGTGTTGGGACAGGAATTTCTAATGACTTTTGTTATACAGTCAGTGAGACTGTTTGGCTCAAAGAACCATTGGAGGCAGAGGTAGGAACAAATACAGTCAGCCCTCCATATCAACAAATTGTTTTATCCACTGATTCAAGCATCACAGTTTGAAAATATTTTTAAAAAATGTATAAATTCCAGAAAACAAACCTTCATTTTGCCATTTTATATAACAGACAGCATTTTACTATTCCACTGTATTTAATGGGCCTCAAGCATCCAGAGATTTTGTTGTCTATGGGGGTCCTGGAACCAAACCCCAGAA